TTAGCTCCAGTTTAGTACATTAGTTCTTTAATGATAAAACACTTTAGAAGCCATAAACCTCTTCGTGAAATTAGCAATATTGCAGTCTCATCGGTAGTGCAAAAATTTAAATTAGAACCAGTATCTCCTTTAACTGAGTACTCCCTTGAGTAGTAACCACCAACTACATCTATATTATTGCAGATGTCTAAATTCACATCATTGCTCTATTCCATCAGCTCCAACAACAGAGTTCAGCATAATAACTATCTTACCACTCCCCTAACATCTGACAGTTCTACTCTGCACCTCTGCTTGGCTGTATAGATATGTGCTCTTGGTGAGAACAGCTGACAGTTGCTCAGTAACAAAAGGCTAGAAAGCCATAACCATAGATAAGTAGCAAGAGACTTATCACATCCTGTCTGAAGCAAGAGAGAATAGAGGCTCTAAACATATAATCCTGAATCAGTTTGCGAGCAGAACTTTCCCCACACTCCCGAATACCAGCTAATATAAGCAAACACCAAACTGTCAAAAACAGCACAGAAAAGGAATTAGTAGTTAGTTACATCTGAGAAAATAAGGGGGGGCCACAGAGCTTCCCACCATGAGAGGACAAGATAGGGGCCCAGCTGTGCTGCAACAGTCAGGAGGAAAAAGCAACCAGCCAGCATGGTCTGTGCAGAAGACAGACTAAGACAGTGAAAGGCAGCAGCGCAGAGAACTTTGGATGAGCTCTAAGGCCTGGGAAGTGTTAAGATCCACTAATAACTTTCACAAGTGGCTACAACCATGGCGTCCACCTCCTGATTCCCTAACTCCCATCAAGTTATTTTACTGTATACTTGCTTCCCCGAAGTATTTAGACAAACTGAACTGAGTCTGGTCTAATTCAATTCTGAATTTCTCAGACTCTACATTAAGTCCTCTGCATAGCTGGTCCTCTGTAAATGTGGAGTTCAGTTAAAGAACACATTTAAACTAAAACCACAAGGGCACCGCTTCACACCCACCATGACGGCTATAGTCTAAAACAGTCACAAATGTTTGTGACAATGTAGAGAGACAGGGACCCTCATAAACTGCTGCTGAGAATGTAAAGTGGGGCAGCCACTTTGGAAGGCAGCTTGGCATGTTCTTAAAAAGTTGTGTATAAATTATCGATAAAACAATCCCACTCCTAGAGAAATGAAAACATACATCCATACAAAGACTGGTGTTCAGGTATTCACGTCAACATTATTTGTAACAGCCCCAAAGTGAAAACAACCCAAATTTCCATCAACTGCCAAATCAATAAAATCTCTGGTTTATCCAAGTAACAGAATACTACTCAGCAATCAAAGAAATGAAGTACTGGTATAATTGCTTTGACACGAATAAACTTCAAAATGATGAGGCTAATCGAAAGAATCCAGAGACAGAAGAGCATGTAATATCTGGTTCCATTTATAGGAAATGTCCAGAATAGGATGATTTATGAGACAGAAAAATAGATTAGTGGTTTCCTGAGGCTGATGATGGAAAGGACGGATAATTGTAAATGGGCAAGTGGGGTCTTACTGGGATGATGAAAATGTTCTAAAATTGGATTGTAGTGATAGTTATATAACTCAAAAGAATCACTGAGTTATACAATGAAAATGGATCAATTTTATGGTATGTAAATTACATTCCATACAATTACATTGTTCTTAAAAACAAACAACAGAAGGATAATCAAAATGGTGTTTTAGGCACAGTTAGCTGTAGGAAGGGGTGGGGTGAAGGCAGAAGCGAGGTTCCTCTGAACACCTCCATGTTTACTTCTTAAAATTTCTCTTTGGAACAGTGTCAATGGATTTGTAAACTTAAAACTGAGAGGAGAAAAAAGTAAACACATACAAAAAATAGATTTAATTCGTGTACTAGATTAATGGCTTAATGACAGAAATGATCTCAATGACTTTAAAATATAATTTTGTGTACGTCCTTAGGAGATACACAGTAAGAGCAAAAAACATGCAAAGAAATCATAAGCTTCTCACTAACCACACTGTTACCAGTACTGATGTTTTGACTCAAACATATAACATGGTATGTATGATTTTACAGATGTGTGCATCTGAGAAAAGGGAATAACCTAGATTTTCAGTGTGAGAAAAAAAATGGATTCAAATATGAAGTCAAACAAGTTAAAACTTTAAATCTAAATCTGAATTAGAAATATAAGTATAAATTCATAATTTTTAATGGATAAAAATGTATTGATAGTCTAGTTCTGTCCACAGAAAAAGCCTAGAAACAATGACCAAGCCCAAAGCACTCAGGCTGTGGAAAAAAGGATCGGAGTTTCTCGTAGAAACTGCTACTACCTCATCACACAAGAAATAAGGGAAATTATCAAAGACTACAGGGCTCATGTCAAAGTGCTCAGAGTTAACTTTAAGAGGTTTAATCGTAGTCAGCGGTGCAGCTCTTTAAGTGTTAGAAGTAAATATTGCTGTATTTGGTTGGAACATATTTAAGGCTGTTAAAAATTCTAGCAGTGATAACTAAGAACCAAAAAAAATCACCTTGGTCACATTTAGAGAATATTAGGGAACCAACTAATTATCCTGAAAACAAGCAAAGAGGTAAGAGGGAAGCATTCGTCTTTTTATCTTGCTTTCCTATGAGAACTATTTCTCAGGGTAATTGATGAGGTGAAATTTTGAAGGAATTACAGAAGCTGAATATCATCATCTTTCAACTTCTAATGAAGACAGACCGCGCACATGTCGTGTCTTCTGTGTGCAGTGAGGAAAGTCTATAACTCAGCATGACCAACCCCCTCTTCCCTTCCCCCTCCCCCAAAATGAACCTGAATGTTACTGAGCCTCTTGGGTCTGGATCTAAACCACTAATTTACAGGTAACACAACTGAGAGAGGGAGACATTGTAGGAAGACATCTCCAAAATGCTAATAGTATCTTTATAGACCTTGTCAGACAAAAGACCAGATTTTCCTCAAAAAAAACTGCAAGGGGGGCAGAGGAGAAGGGGAGGGAGAAATTTAATGCAATGTGGGCATCTTATTCGTATTCTGATACAAAGAAACCTTTCTTTTAAGGAGTTATTTGGGAAAATCTGAATACTGAGCAGGTATTTCATCATTTTAAGTACTAATGTTAAGGTGTTCTAATACTGCAGCTGCTTAAATTAAGAGATACACACTGAAGCATTTACAGATGAAGTTCTATGAAGCTTGGAGTCTCTCCCAGAACAGCCCGCTGGGGCGCGGCTCAGGCACCCAACAGTGGCACCATGCCGGCGCGAGCGAGGGCACGTGGGCTTCTTCAGGCTCTGCCCTCTGCTTTTACCAGTGTCTGAATCTTTCAGATCAAATTTTTCAGAAGAGGGAAAAGTAACTCCAGGAAAGAAACAGTTGCATTACCCCAACCTCCTCTGTCCCCGTATAATTTTAATTCACCAGTTCATTTTTTGTTCCCGGGCCACTGAGTTTCCCTTTTTTTAAAGAGCTGGGTGGCATTCAGGGTAAGGAGGTGCAGTGGGTGGGGTCCTCTTCCCTCACACCTAAAAAGCTCCCTGGGCGTGCACAGTGAGGTCAAGTTTGTGGCCAACAAGAACAAACGAAACAGTGTCTCTAAAAATTCCTCCTCTGTGCTACCAAGGAGCTAATACCATTCCTCTGCGAAGCTCAATACAGGCCTTGTTCCCACCCTGCCAGCGCACACTTGCCAGGTTCAGGCTCCCAGTTACCCCCAAGTCCAAAGCATGTCTGAGAGCCCCTATGGTTCCAAAAAAACACACGTTACCCCACGCTATGGATTGCCAGCACTGGCTCCAAACCAAAGCCTAAACTCTTAAAAAAAATTGTCTTCAGGTTCTACGAAAAATTCCGGGGCTCCTGCTATTTGGTCTTTAACCACCAGGTGGTGCTAACTCCCCAACTAGGATGCACAGCGGCTTCAGCCCCTGGAGTTAATGCTTCTCCCATCTGTCTAATAAGAGTTCTCTCTCATCCATCAGCCTCCTATAAAGCAACTGGGTATTGGAGATTCTAGAGAGAAATGGTTTTGTTTGGTTGGGTTAAAGTGATTCAAGGCAGTCTTCTTCTAAAACTTGGACTGTACTTTGCACTTTCTTCTAGTAGTGATATAAAGTAGGAAAGAAAATGTGCCTTCTTAGTTAGCAGGGGGAGCAACAAGAAGCACATGACGCCAGTACTCCTGGGTGTGATGGAGGCTAGAGCTGAACTTGTGATCACATACACAGGCCCAGAGATGAAGATGCTTCTGTGGACTGCATGTCTGTGTCCCCTCACAATTCTTATTTTAAAGCCTTAATCCCCAATGTCATGGTATCTGGACACAGAACTACTTTAGGGAGGTTATTTGGGCTAGAGGAAGTCTTGAGCAGAGAACACCCATATAGGATTAATCTCCTTATCAAAAGATGAAGAGATGTAGACTCTTTCTCTTCAGGCACGCAGCAAGGAAAGATCACGTGAGGCCATATCCAGGAAGAGAGCCCTAACCAAGAGCCCCACCTTGCTGGCACCTTGATCTTGGACTTACAGAAGTGTGAGCAAGAAACCTTTGTTGTCATCCAGTGAGGGTATTTGGTTACAGCAGCCCAAACTGACTAAGATGGTGCCACAGTAAATCAGGCTTGTTCTAAGATCTACATCAAAGTCCTACCCCACCCTAATAAAGCATCCACACCAACATCTCTCCCCACCCTTCATTCTCCAAGTCAGTTTTGACTCAGCCAAACGGACTTCTAAGGACCCGACTGCCAAAGACAGGACCGAAAGCACAAACAAGCAAAAAGTCCCAGTTCATCATGCAAATGAGTAGGAAGTTCAGAAACAGCTTCATCTTCAGGCCAACCCTAACTGCTTTCCCAGCTCCCACACTCACCTTTGTTCACTGTCAAATACAGAGGTGGCAGCTCAGGGCTGCCCATGGAGGGCAGTACAATGTCTAGGTCAAGCACAACCCAAGTAACAGTGACCCAAACTTTGCAGACCCTACCTGGAAGTGCAAAATAATGGTCCAGATCAGGCCGAGGGTCAGCTTGGGGTTGCCATCTGTGATGTCATCATTGCGAATATTCACTAATTTCACCTGAAAAATAAACAGAAGCTGATATCAGAGCTCTGGGACATTTTGTTTGAGCTTAGATTTTTATCAATTACAGTGTTTCTTGGTTTGGTGGTTGGACTATGCATAGATTTGTATAGCTATCACCATTATCGGGATAACAGAACCATTCCCCAAAAGGTTTACTTGATGTAACCCCTCTGAGGTCAAAACCTGCCTTCACACACACACACCCCACCACCAACTCCCAGCAACCACTCTTCTCTTTCCAACTTTGCTTTTTCTGTGGCCTTCCACTGAAGGGCTTTGGGGTTGTTTACCATTTGAGACAATTAAGAATAAAGCTCCACAATCGTTGTGTAGGATTCTGTGACAGCACATGCTTTCATTTCTCTAGGGTAACTTCCCAGGGGTGGGCTTGCTGGCTCATACAGTGATTGGTTCTATTAGAAACTGCGAGGCTATTTTCCAGGGTGGCTACGTTTGCATTCCCTCCAGAAAGGCAACCTCGCAGGCACATGTGGAATGTGGGTTGCTTTGCTGTTAAGTCATGACAACCTGACTTTTTTTCTTTCAAGGTTAAGAGAGAAAGACAGGTGCCTCTCCCCCCTCACCTCCAGCTTCCCTCCTTGGTCCCAGAGCTCCCATCTCCCCATGTCTCCCATAGTCATTCCAAGAACACAAAATGCACAGACATACCACCCTCCCACCACCTCAGCTGACCCTCCCCCAGTGTACTGACAACTGAGGGTCTGGGGAAACTTCCACCTCAGTCCCTGTTAGCCTCTTCTTCACACCCCTACTGAGCCCGAGTTCAACGTGACAAAATGTCCTTGAGCTATCCTCCCTTTATCTCTTCAACTGAACTGAAATCTGTCTCTGAAGAATCCTAGGGACTTCAGACAGAGCTTCACTTTTCCCTCACACTATCGGTAGTCTGAATGCTTGGTCCCTCCAAAACTCACCTGTTAAATCCTGAGGGCCAATGTGATGCTATTAGAGGTGGGGTCTGGGGGTGACAGCAAGGTCACAGGTGTGGTGCACCCATGGGATTAGTGAGCTTACAAAAGGACCCCAGGGAGCACCAAGCCCCTTCCAACACGTGGGGACACAGCTAAAAGACATGTAGGAAGCAGCAGTGTGGATCTAGCAGTGTTTCTCAGATCTTGGAATCCCCAGTCTCCAGAACAGTGAGAAATAAATCTCTGTTGTTATAAGGCACTCAGTCAGTGATATTTTTGTTACAGCAGCCTGACTGAGTAAGAGCTGGGCAGGTTCTTTCCCTTTTTTAAAAAAAAAATCCGTCTCCTCTTCTGTGTATGGGAGGCGAGAGAAGTCGCCCCCGGAGTCTGCGCAAGCCGCCTTTCTCCCTGCGCCCAGGCTGGTAGCCGGCACTCAGCCACGCCCCCGGCCACCGGCTCTCCCCTTTCGCCCTGAAGTCTGCTTGTCTTGGCCAAACTCTTTCCACTCCACCAACCCTTGATGACTGCAGCATCTAAAGCGACTCTCCTTTCCTACTTGGCATCTTCTACTGCCCTTCTTGGCAATTTTAGCACTTGTCTCATATGACCCAAGTATCTCCCTAGCTGCACAAACCATCTGCCTTTTCAATTCGGATGACTTTCATGTTTGCTCTACGTGGACACCTGCACAGCTTCAACCTGGGCCTCACCATGACCAAGCACTGTGCCAGAGTCCTCGCTGTCCTGAATCCACCAGGCTTGCCCACCCACGCTTTCACCCTTTCGGAGTGCCGTGCTCTGTCCCTATTTAGGCCTCTTCAATTCTCCTCAATTTACCTTGCCCATTACACCCACTCTGGTTTTCTCTAAGGCTACAGATATTTCAGAGTGACTTTCTCAAATATCCGAAACACTGCAGCCTCCAGCTCTTCTACCACTTTTCATTTATCAATTTATGTCAGCAAATATTTATGAAGTAAGATTATGCATTCATTATGACAATGATGGAGATACAGAAGCCGAGTGAGATGGTGTTGCCTGTCTTCACAGGGCCCACAGTGTACTACATCAGTGAAATAAGAACGTAGACGGAAACCGCTATGGGGTTACATAGGGAATTCCCTGGGTTAATGAGGACTGCTGATAAGAGAGACAAAAATGGACTGACTTCTAAGGTATACAGCCCACTTGCTGTCCTCTTGACCCGTGCTGTTGCCTGGCGACCAGCTCCACCTTTTTCATACAGCTCTCAGCAGATGACACACCGACTCCCTCACCACTACAAACTATCTCCGTGTCTTTCTCCCTCCGCCTTATTTCTCCTTGTGTCTCAGAGAGACAGGAATTTTCCTCTTTCTGTTCAAAGACAAGCACCGTGTTCTGTATTCTGGATCCTGCCCCTCCGTCCAAGACTTGCTTCCACCTAACAGGAAGCAACAGGCGGAAGGATGGCACGCGGACACAGCAGGGACGAGGGGAGGGGCCCGCTTCCTGGTTGGCTCTCTCTGGTGATTTGGGGCAAGGTACTTCGCAAGTCCCTGTCTCCTGTCTATGAAGTGAAGACTTGGGCTAGCAGACATCTGTGTAACCTCCTCCCTCTCATTTTTGGTCTCCCTCTCTTCACTGGTTTCTCCTCATGTGTCTAAAAATATGTTGTTGTCTTCCTTCCCTATTTAGGGAGGGAAGAACTTCCTTAAAGAACTCATGTAACCCTTCTCTGTTCTCGTCCATCACCGATGCTAAGACCCTTCCCACGATCTGATGTGGTGGCCGACAGCCCTGACCACCCCATCGACTTTTGTGATGACACAGGCCTCTGGCTTTCCCTCTCCCTGGGTGCTGTAACTTTTCCCATGTTCTTCACTGTTCATCTTTCATGCTCATTATGACCCCCACCTCAGGTGGACCCATAAAGTTCAATCTCTGGCATTTTGCTCTTCTTTTTCTTCTTCAATATTTATTTATTTATGCATACAATAACTTGGGTACAGGCCAGAGGTGTACCCACTTTGTCTTCTGCTCCCCACTGAAGACAAAGTGGGAAACAGAACAGGCAGACTGACTGAAATACACTGCTAAGGGGAGCTGTGGGCAAGACAGGAGAGGGCTGCTGCCCATGTGGGTCAGCGCCCTGGCTGGGGATGGAACTCGTGCTCAGTAGCTATGGACAGCTTCACAGTGCTGCCCTTTAGTCCCTTGTACCACCAGGAAGGTCCCCATTTTGCTCTTCTTGTTAACATTCTCAGCAACTCTGAGAGCTTCCCAGAATGCCGAGGACATCCCTGGGTAGGGACAGCGTCCAGCATCCCCTGCAGCATGGGTAACACACAGGATCATCTCACCTGTCTCTGCTTTAGAAAGTCCAGGGCGATCTGCACATTCTGCAGCCTATGAAACCGCATCCTGCCCTTCTCCCGGGGCTACAAACAAACAAACAAAGGGATGTTAATTTTAGTTACAGCAATTTTCCTAGGCAGACCCCTTTCCTCTTTCAAGGACTGAAAGACCATAAAGAACGCCTCCTGGGGGAAGCCAGGTGTGGGAGCACACACAAAACCCTACTGAGGCAGATCCTGTGCACCTCATCTTCTGGGTCTCACAGAGCTCATTTCCCACCCCGCCCCCCGCCCCCACCTGGAGTACACGGGGCCTTTTGACTGCAAACACTGAACCGGGACGGCAGCTTCTCTATCGGTTCCTCTGCAGTTATGAGTGGCAGATCTTGATTCTGATTGTAAGGTTAATGGAAACAAGAGATTCTGGTTCTGTGGCTCCTAAAGCCCCAGCTAGGTGCTGATATACGGGATGGGTGGAAGCAGTAACTGCATTATCACACAGCAGTGGACAGAGGCAGCTTCTCAGGAACAGGCAAACCAGAAGTAGGCAGTTTAAAACTAGAGAGTAAGGAGCTGCACGTGTTCAACCAACAAGTGAAAATTTCCCAAAGGAGAGGCAAAAATCAGGAAAAAACCTATTTTCTGGGGTATCAATGTAGGAAACACCCAGAGCAAACAACCCTTCATGATACAAGGCTATTCAATACCATACTCTAGAGAAATGTATGTTCTGCTCTGCACTCCACCAGGAATGTCATACAGGTCACAGGAGAGAAAGCTGTCTCCCTTCAGTGTCTCTGCTGCCAGCCAGAGCTCAACAACGAGCCAACCAAAGTGGGTGACATCTGCTTGTCCACTGGGGACATGGGGTGGCTGTCTACCTCTGGAATGCTCTGTCCGCCACACCTCTGAAAACTCACTTGTAACCGTTCACCTGTAACTGCTAAACTGGCACTGACTGAAAGCTGCTATGGTTCCCGTACTGAGGCAACACTGGCCCGGGTGGAAATGGGCACAAGGTAATTTCTTAAAGCAAGTATTTAAGAAAAACCTCTTTACCAAGAACCTCTTCTCAGTGAGTTCAGCAAAACAAACTGTGAATATTACTTAGAGGATGCTAGACCCTGTAAAGCTGAAGATTTGAAGGTAACAGAAAGAGGGGTCAGTGAGGTGAAAAGATGCCTTTAAGAGGACAGGAAATGGGGACACTGATCATGCTTCTGGGGAGAGATCATCGACTATATGACTTCAGGACTGTAGGAAGGACATGCCCCTTGTACACACACTAATCTCTACCTCTTCTGTAGTCGCCCACCAAAATAAATATCCTACGAACATGCAAGTTAAATCTCTGTCCTCCATGGCAACTAGAGATATTGTTAACCACGGCAGAAAATCTCCATGCAATGCGTGGTCTGCAAACAGCAAACAACAAACAGGTTGTTCTGAAAACAAATGACGCGTGTGAGGTAAGAACCTGAAGGCTGGAGAGGTAGAAAGCGTACAACAGTTAGTCTGGGGTGTGGAGCTGTGAGCAATTAACTATCATGCTGTCAACTAAACTTTCCACAGTTCTGCAACCTGCACTCAGACAACACAGCAAGGCCATCAGAAGGCTCTGGGTCTCCAGGTCACATTAGGACTTGACATTTCCAAGCACCGCAATTCTTCTGTGCCAGCCATTAGAGAAGGAAGACAATTCCCAGTCATCTAACAGTACAAGAGGCACAATTGGTTTTAACCACTTTCTCTGGGGACATTCCCAGGTGCATCAAGAGGCAACTGGAACCTGAGCTACTTGGAGACCAAGAGCACCTCAAACTCTGATGGCCCTGCCGTGCCAGCTGGGTGCTGGCATCCCCGGGGGACCTACGACATCATCATCATCTTCCTCCTCCTGCTCCTCGCTGTTTGTGTGGCGCCAGGAGGGCATGCTCACCAGGCGGAGGGTCTTCAGCCCAGCTGGCTCCTTTGGCCACCAACCAAGGCAAAGACAACACAGAGTAACAGGAAATTCACAACACAAAAACCAAGAGAAAATGAATGTAACATTTATTTAAAAAAAAAAAGTGAAACTAAATATGAAAACACTTCCCACCTCCAAAAAAGATGCAAACCAAATCAAGATTACAGCAGATGGTTACAATGAACACTACTAATGCTGAAACACCTTCAATTCTCCATGGCCATCCACCCTCTCTGCTTTAGTGATTCAACTAAGGGAAAAAGAAGTGATGAGAATAACCATAGATGAGATATTGGGATGTTTTCAGTGAAAAGTTGATCTCCTAGTAACATCTCCCCTAAACACCTGTAAGTTTTCAATGGTTAGAAAAAGACATTAGCGTGGAGTGGTTTTAACCTGTTTTGTAAGCAATGTCACCAAAAAGGATCACATTTCAATGTAAAATCACTATAAGCTCTTCAAATATACTAGTTAAATCGTCTAAATTACAATATTGTGAGCACTGAAGAGGAACGTCTAGCACAGCAAAAGTGAAATTCTGATTACTTATGAGATTTACAGATGAGGACCAGAGTTCATTCTAGTTCAGAACCCACCATGTGGGGGTGAGTAGTTGGCTGTGCTAATAAAGACATCTGTTAATGTTAGGCCATTGAAAATGATAAAATAACTTATTGCAAGGCGGCGAGGGGGGCGGGTAGGGAGGGGGGAGTGGAAGCCAAACAAGTGGCCTGGGGAAGCCAAACCCTAATCCTGGAAAAGCTGAATATTACCAAAGGAGTAAAGTCTAATGTGCCAAGTGCTGTTCTTGAAACACAATCAACAATGACTAAGAATTCACCAAAGGCAGTGTGTGGGCCGAGTTTCACAGACTCGCTGAGCCACACACCTCTTCAGCTCTCCCCACAGAGGTCTCCAGGGCTCATCCCTGGGTTTTTCTAAATGAAAACCATGTGGTCTGTGAGGCCAGAGATCGAACAATATCACCTGCTTCCAGTAGGCTCATACAGGAAGCTGTGGGCACACAGGGAGGTTACTCTGACCTGCAAACCAAGCTTAGGACTAGCATCTGAACAGCCCAGAGGCTCAGGCGAGGTTTGCCTTCAATTTGTTTGTAGGTGTTTCCCACAAGCAATGTTTAATACATTTTGGGAGAAAGTGGGTGTCTTTAATTAGCCAAGGAGCCAAATGTACTGCATCCAGGGCGATGCGCAGACATCAACTTCAGCACTTCTCTGAATCTGTGCGACTCAGTGAATCACACAGAAGGGAGAAGGTGAGGCAAACTGGAAAAAAGAATTCAACACCTGAGCTTTTAAATGTAAACTTCAGGTCCTTATTTGAAGACAGAAAAACAATTTCACGGTAGTCAGGAAAAAAGGATTCCGTACAACTACAAACAAAAACCTAAGGGGAAAGTATATCTTATTCAAAAACCTTTAAGTGCAAATCTACTATTCCTGAAACAGTGGAAATAGATAAAGAATAAATAAGGAGAAAACATGCAGCTATGAAAGGATTATATAATGGTTGTCTGAGTCCATCAAGAAATGAATATATATGATGAGATGAAATGACATCATTTGTAAACTCTGAGTCTGAGTTAGAAATCAAGTGCACCAAACTCTTCTGGTGCCTCCTCCCATTAACAGGCACCCATGCCACTGTCCTGGTGCTTGCGAGTGGCTGAGAAGCTGTTCACGGGGCCACGCCTGGGGGGGTCACTAACTAGCAGAAGAGAGGTGCTCACCAGCTTGATGCCCGAGAGGACCTCCAGCAGAGAGATCAGGTTATGGCCATCCCGCAGGTCTTCGTACAGGTCATTGATGTGCTTGCGCACCTGTGCAGAATGAGAGGCAGACTATTATTATCTACACAAGACTCTCTGGTTCAAGGTAAATACAAATGACATAACTTGAGTTAAAAAATTCACGAATTTTCAGGTTGGAATACAATACATACGGAATGGGGTACGTGCCAGAAAAAGAGACAGTGAGACAGAGGCAGAGAGTTTTTATTTGAAGCCAGATCTATTATATACCCCAGCAACCCTGAACAATATTCTAGAATGCTTAAGCAAGTAGCTGGGGACTTTTAATGGTCCTGTAATACCTGAGGGATTATTATGGGCCAAACTGTGACACAATGGCCAGTGATGGACAATGGGTAAAATCCAGAGTCCAAAAAGCCTTCCACAGGATGGATACAGGAAACTGAAATTTAGGTCCTCTGCGTACCTCTAATCCAATCTTTCTCTCACCAAATATTTCTAATAGTGAATTTAAAAATATTTTCCTTGAAGAAAAAAATTCCAAGTTTAAACCTAAAACTATGAGGAAAACATTTCACTTTGGGGAAAAGTATAGTTAATGTCAAACATTGAGACAAATGTCTTTTATGTTCTCTTGTCTTTCCCTTGCATATATAAGGTGGGGATCGCTGTCATTCTTCCTAGTTTACACATGAGAAATGAGGTGCAAAGAGTTTAGTAAATGTCCAGGGTCGTTAAGTGAAAAACTTGACCCCATTTGGTCTTTTTGTTTTAGTTTAGATTTTTTAAATTATTTATTTTAAAGCACTTTTTTCTTACAACCTTTGTTAATTCTTTGCTAGTACAGGATTTCTCCCCTCAAGTGTGGTCACCATAATCCTCCCTTTCACTCACCCCCATGTCCACCCCTCCCCTCATGATTTAGTTTTTGCCTTAACTACTATGCTTTATAATCAAACATACCTTGTTTCATTTATTTAATCTAAGTCACCTCCCACTGAAATGTATTACTCTGGAAAAGAAACTGGGCAAACTGAGGCCCGGGAAAGTAGGTCACACGTTCCTAGTAAGTGGCTAGAGCTCTTCTGATTCTAAGTCTCGCGACAATTTTTATTTATTGACTTATTTGTTCATTTGTTTGTTCGTTCATTCGTTCACTCATTCATTCATGCACAGAAGATATGAGATGCAGGCCAGAGGTGCAGAGAGTGAAAGTGGGAGCGGGAGGGGTGCGGAGAGGATTCACCAGAGACAGGGTAGGGGGCAAAACAGGCAGATCCACAAAGCACACTGCTGAGGGGAGCAGAGAGTGAGACAGGAGAGGTCTGCTGCACCATGTGGGTCAGCTCCCTGGCTGGGCATGGAACTCAGGCCACAGCAGGGATAATGCTGAGACTTAACCCCTAGCCCACCAGGGAGGCCCTTGACAATTTTATTAAGCAATATTCACAACAACGAATCAGAAGATTAAAGGAAATTATAAGGAAGGAGATTAATTTTCAACATAAATAGCTTCTGGATAACAGCAGAAAGTACTTTCAAAAGTACATTTCTAGTCATTGGAATTTTTAAGTATAGGCCAAGATATTTGAGTAAAAAACTAAACTACAGTGCTATCCAATTTTAATATTCCAGTGTTCAAAACAGACTGGGTATCAGAAAAGATAAAGGTTGGAGGCATCTGGGGAACTTTTGGAAGAGAAAGGAACAAAGGATTAGAAAAGTTTTTTGATAGGAAAAAAGGTGTGAAAAGTACGCAAAGACTAGGTGTAGAGGTGAAAATATGTGAGGCATGTGTGTCTGGATGTGTGTGAAGGGCAGACACCAGCAGGATAAAATTGTTCAGGGAGAATCAGATAACAGCTTCCAAACAGCTAGAGACTATTTCTTCAATTTGTTGTGGTATCCAAAGTACTAGAAGACACAGCAAACTTTTTAGTTTAATCTGCAGTATTAAATTTTTCTTCTCCATTTTTTAGTTTAGACAAACATCTAGGTCAACTGTAGCCGTTGCTAATCTCTATGGTGTATAAACACGACCATGACCAATTTCAAGCTACAAATATAATACCAATAAATGTGATGCTGGAAAGAAATATACAGAACACCATTACCTAGAATTTCCACCATGGAGCTACAACAGACATAATTAATCTCCAGAGCACAGACAATAATAACATGGACCAAAATAATTATGAAGTAATGAGTTTTAAGAATTTATTACCTTTATCTTAAATATAATTTCTTTAATTATAAGTATATATATAATTCAAATTTTAATAATAACGGTTTGTAGCAACCAGCTCACAAAATTCCTAAAAATTTAACATTTGGCTCTCATGATTCTATATGAGCTGTTCCCACATGCCAGTAGCTGTAAGATTTCAAGGTTTCAACTTGGGGACCTAGAACAACCACAGAGCACCACTAACAGAAGCAAGCAGGTCATGGAGGCTGGAAAGGGAGTGGATTTGGGTTACGTTCAGTTTTAAATGTGCTGAATTTAAAACAGCAGCAAAGGAGTTACAGATAAATGTTCCTGAAGCAGGAAACACCAGAGTTCAATCTGGGTCAGAGGACAACGGAAAGGCACAAGTCCTATGTGCAGAGAAGCGAGTGCAAGACATGGGAAACGTTGGGAGCTTCTGGCTTAGGGGCAAGGAGAGAGCAGATTGCTACACACTGAGCCAGAGGAAACAGCCAAAACCAGAGGGAGGAGGTGGAAAAGCAATCAACAAAGGCCAGGGCCGGAGGGGAGACGATGGAAGGAGGATAGGTACAAAAGCCAAGAACACCATACTCAAAGAAGGGCTTGTCCCAGGATCAAATGCTACAGGTCTTGATGAGGACTACAATAGGGTTCTTGAATCCTCCCACAAATAAGAATATTTTATATCTTGAGAATAATTTTCTAGAGAAAGGTAAAGTGTGGGTAAGATTACAAATGAACAGTAGCTTTTTTTAAATTAAAAAATATTAAATACTTGATATTAATGGTTAAGAAGAAGGACATTACTGAGGGATTTATTTGTGGCAGATAAGGCTAACAAAGTCCACAGAGATGAGGAGTGGCATCAAAAAATTATTTAATTACAATTGAGCTGAGGACCAAATGAGATCATGTTATCAACAGGATGCTAAGCACTAGAGTATTACAAAAGAAAAAGGAGGCACTTTGAAATGTAAAATTAATTTCACACGAGGGCTCCAAATTCTCCCTGAAAACTACTAGTTATGCTTTGACACTTGGGAGTCACAAAGACTAACCACACCTTGCAAGGCAGGAATAGCACATGTCTCTCAACATTTGACTTAATATAATAACTACGTAACTGTGACAATCAGCAGAGACACAGGTGTAATGGGGGAAGGGGAAGTTGTGGGGTTATATTTTCCTGAAAAGTTTTCAACAATAGAAAAAACGTCTTGAAAATTTTCAGATGCAGAAATAGGGTTTGGAGGCTTAGTTGAAACCCAAAGATCACATAGCTAGTAAATAGCCGGGCTGATCGAATCCAGGTCCTCTACACAGCCTTTAACTCTTCTGCATGTACTAAGTTGTTTCAAGTTTTCCACAAGTCTCCTAAGTAGCAGAAGTTTTAGAGACAGTCAAGTAAACCTAAGCATGCTCAGGAATCATCAATACCTATGTTTCTTTGCAAGAAGTCATGATGCTATTCTGTCAACAAATAAAATGAGTAGGAAAACTATTTAGGTCCTTGCTGGTTTACTCTACCTGTGAAAATCAGGATTAGTGCGTATCTTCTAAGAATCTATACAAATGGTGAACAAACTCAGGAAAAGATATTCAGTGTCATTAGCAATAAGAAAAATGTAAATCAAAACTACAGTGAGGTACCACTGTACAGCCACCAGGATGGATAACGAAAACGATGGGCACAGCATCTATCCAAATGGAGGTCCATAACTCTCAGGGGAAGAGAGGTTTACAGATCATCAAGCCCTGATTTAGCCACGAACCTATGGTCACACTTGGCCATGAAGGCCACACTCCTCTCCTTAGCATTCAACCAGCACCGTTTTTCAAGCTCTTAAATTAAACCCCCCTGCCACTGTCCTTCTGACCTATCCATCAGCTGTGAATGAGCAAAGAGGTGCGAAAGTGCACACAGTGCTGAGGAAGCAGTGGGTCATCTTGTGTGGCCACAGCCGAGACTGCGCGGGAGAGTGTCCTGAACCCCTGCAGCTCTCGCCAACCCTCTCCTCACTAGAGGGCCTCACACAGACAGATTAAACGCAAAGGGCAAGTAAGAATCTAGAGTTTCAGAGCTTACATTGCAAAGATAAATAAAAATGGAAAGAAGATTCCATCTCCTAGATTAAATGTGGGCTTTTCCTTTCTACCTATTCACCTCTGAAGTCTATGGTCTTTCTCCACCTTCTTAAGGGAGTTCGAGCTCTGTCACATCCTCTCATCCTTTCTCCAAGTTCTTTTTCTTCAACTACCAGGGCTTAAAGATAGAGCAAAGACAATTTGAATAAAACCTCATTCAAAACTCTACATTTTCCTTTTTGATGATTCCGGGATATAAGAAGAACTCCTGAGTCTGGGGCTTTCATTCTATATGTAGTGGTGAGTTATTTCAGGTGCTTACATCCTCAACAAAAGCGTTTTAAGACTGGGTCGACAGTAGTCTTGACTGACAAAGAGGAATTGTTTCTCAAAGCAGTATTTGGGAATCCAAGAGTTCCCAAGACATCTAGATCTAGAATCCAAGATCTAGATGAGCACATCAGTCTACTAGCCAGTAGCAACATTCATCTGGGTATTTGGAGAACACAGCAAAGGATGCCTGCCTGAGTTGCAAAACCACAAATCTTGATCCCTAATTCTCAGCCCAAAGTTTAAAGAATTTCTACATGGGTCAATAATTATGATTAGCAGCAAATCTCTTTAAACTATCCCAAGATGACGAAAATGCATTACAATCTACGTGGGGCCGAGACAAGATGAAAAACAGCCAGGGACTTCCGTCTCTGGCTGGCCTCCAGCTGTTAACAACCCTCTGGTGTGTCTAGTTTCTCCCTCCCCAGGCCTCCTGTCATCACACAGCCCTGAGGCAGAGGCCCACCAGGCAACATCAGTCAGCCACAAATGAAGAACAGGGAGTCAGGGCATTTGCACTCAAATACCGAGGTTAGGGAAATGAGCCAGAGACAGGATAAATGCAGTTTGTCCTGTTTGAACTGAAGTATGAAAGCAGAGTAAGCTGGGGACATATTTGTAAAAAGCAAAAGTAACTTTGACCAAAAGATGCACGGTTGATTCTTAGCTCCATCCCTCACTAACTATAGGGTCTGGAAAAGTAACTCTCACATTTTTTAGTTGTGAAAACTGAGCACATGAGACACCCTTACTTCCTTCAGGGTTACTGTAAGGATCAAATCAGACAGGGGGGTGGCTTTCTGAGCTATAAAGCACAACTCAAGTATTATTTTTTCCAGGCAACACTCAGTTACTGGACACATCTCAGGTCCTTGGTGCAGCACTTAGTGGAAAGAGTAGCACAGCCAGCCAGCAGCATGCTGACAGAGACCAGTGAACGCACACACAGGCAGCTCTTCACAGTGGTGGGGAACAGAAATGGAATTGCAGTTAATTCATCATGGGGAATGGAAGTCAGAGTCTCAGTAAGGTGATGCTGGAGTGGGCTTTGAAGGGTAACTGGGTGGTGGCAAGGATGAAGAGGCTGGGATAGGCCTTCTAGGGAGAGAGACATGAATAAGCAAAGAGGTGCAAAAGTACAAGTGTTTAGGGAGCAGTGGTTTGGCTTATCTGGTGACAGCACAGGCTACACACACCAGAAAAAAATGCTCAGGAATGAAGTTGGATAGGACATGGTTGTAAAGGACATCCTTATAGGGTTATGTGTCATCAAACTAGAGTCAGCTGGTACACAACAAAGGGATTAGGTAATTTTTCCTACATGTCTTTCTTTTTGTGCTTAAAAAATAAGACACAATATCTACCTTCAAGTTATAATCTGGAAGAAAGAAAACATATAAATGCCATAGGTGTTCACAGGAGCACAGTGGGGTAACAAAGGACAGTGTGTGCAGTTCCATACAGCAGAGGCATGAAAACTTTATGGGGGAGGCGCTAAGCGGGTGTTACCCAGAAGGGATATATTCCACACTGAGGAGCAGCTGAGCAAAGAGACAGCCGCCAAACATCATTCAGCAAGAGCTCCAGGTCTGAGGGGAGCTTGGGGTTACATGCCTGGAAAGGCAGGCAAAGCCAGGGCTAGTGCTGCAAAGGGAAGAGCACAGGTCTAGACGACAGGTTCCGTGAATTCTAACACCTCAGGCCTCCCTCTTTCTAGTGGTGTAACCTTGAACAAGTTACTGAACTTACCTAAGCACCGTGCCCCTCATTATTAAAATGGGAATTTTGATAGAACCTGTCCTATAAAGTGAAGGGAAGATTAAATAAGATAATTGAAAGGCTTTAATACAGAATGCCTGATCAATAGTAGTACTCAATAAACTACTATTATCATTGTCACTGTTACTAAAAAACGATTATGATAGCCAAGGCAAGACTTGAAGAGGCCGTGGACTACATTGGCAAGGATTTTTCTCAATTGGATGTGACTGTTTGGAGTGGTTGACACAGGAGAAAAGATGGGCAGGACTGGAGACAAAATGATTCCAGGTTCCTAACTTGAACAAGTAGGTACATGAGTGAAAATATTGAGCAATTTGGGTTGTAAATACACCTTATGTCTGAGTAACATCCAGGTAAGCGTGTCAAAGGGATATGCTCAAAGGTTTTTGAGTAGGTAAAGCTTCTATCCCTAACTTGAATGGACGTTCCTAATTACCCGTATCTTACAATTTGAGAATTGTCCTCACATATAGCCCCCACAAGCCAAGTGGTACTAATGAGCCATGTTTAATTAACAGAACCCACTCCTTGGCCACAGCTTACTGACCCTTGGAGGAAAAGGAAAGGCAGCCAATGAGATTCTTTGTGGTGTGCCTTTAGACAGGCGTTTATCACACACTGAGGGGCACCCATCAAAGCTCCCACACAAACAATGGGAGAAATAAATACAAGAGACATACGGAAAGAAGAAAAAAATGAAAGAACACGAGAAAATAGTTGCTCAATAATATACGATTTTTGTAAAGCACAGCTATACATCCAGACCTCACACTCTGAGATCACCTGTACTCTCTCAGGCCTGAGCTCTTTCGCATTCCAAGCATCCAAACAGTCCCTAGCACTAGAATAGATGAGTCTGCCAAAGAAGAACACAGTTCCACAGGCTACAGAGACACAGAGTAAGAGAAAAGTAAAACTAGGCTATTGTGTGGTGATGAAGTGGCTGCTGATGACCTCATCCAGAGCAGTGATTCCTAGAACTCAAAAACCTTGATTTCAAATCTTGGCCACCACACTCATCAACAAGCCCCAACCTTGCTTTCTCCTCCAGTAAGAGTAATATTATTTCCCCCCTCCTGCCACTGAGCTATTCCAGAATTGTTCTGCACCAGGTAGTTACCTGGTGCTTATATATGTGTACAGACACATACACATGTACTAATCTGAACAGTTAGTAGTTGTGTACTTTAAAAGAGAGAAAGAAAAGGAGAACAGAATTTTCTTTGCCCCATCCTTACCTAATAAACAAAGAAAGCAGCTTATAAAATGTGTAAAGCCAAAAGCAAAGTGTTCTTGGATCCCCAGGAATCACTCCCTAGTCCCCTCGACAACCTGCTGAGAATGGTGTTAACTAGCCCTGCCAGAAACTGATCAGTACAAGTTTCCACACTGTTGTAACCATGTTCTATATTTTAAAAGTCAGGACATCTTCCATAGGCTCGAGCACGTGTAAAACAGCTGGGAGCGGGGCTGAGAGACCAGAGACATGGCCTCCACAGGACGGAGTCCTACCTTCATCAGGTGCTTGTTGACCCACTTGGTGAATGTCTTCTTCTGCACGCGGTCCCGTTCATCTGTAAAGGAGAGAGGAGGCACTGGTTTAGTGTTACCGGGCACCAAGTCCATGGACCCCACCTTGTCCACACCCTGGATCCTCCAGTGGGAAGAGTTCCTATAGAACTGTGGGATGGTTGAGAGGAATGGCCTGCCGGGACCTCTTCCGCCCTGGCCATGTGGCCACTTTGCAGATTAGAGTCGAATGGCTCAATGTGGCCATGTCTCCTCCACATTGTTATTGTCTGCGGAGCAGTGCTTGCTTCCCCCACAGCAAATGCCAAAAGTCCAAAGCTGTGAGGGGGCTACCGCCAGCGGGGTGGGTGACCTAGCACCTGAGCTGCTCCCCCTACAGTGGTGAAATCTCACTCTTCAGACATCCATGCTCTGCTCCCTCCCTCCAGTCTCCTCAGGTCATTACAGTCAGACACCCACTGGTACACCTAACCCTCCCTCCCTTCCCTGAAGTCTGCCAGAGCCCCCATTTCCCTCTAGGCAAACTCCCATTCCTTCTCAGTCATCCTCTCATTGACAGAGACAGGACCCTCTGGTGCTCCATACAAGGCAGTGATGGCTCCACAGTGCGTCTAGCAAAGGACTCACTTTTTACCACAGCTGTCAATCCCCCAGAGCCACTTCCAAGCCACAGATCCATCAGCCGGGCTACTTTTCTGTTCGCTGGAAGCCTTACCGTCTTGGCCAGCTGATCCTCACTGTCACTAAGTTCCCTGCTGTCCTCACCTCCAACAGGCAAATCAGCTTCCCTGGCAACTTGGTGCACATGTACTATCTTCATACATCCTCTTCAGATTACCCCCAAACGTACGGTGACCTGCCTCTGGGCCTTCACGGCCCTTCATTTCCAACTCACATCCAGACCGCACACTTGCATCTCCTGACTCTGGTTCCTTGTGAAACACGCATCTTTTTAGCAGTCATCGTTATCTATCTCTCATACCTCCTAGCATCCTCAACCTTCAGTCACTCCATTCTCATGTGACACATGTATGAGGAACACCTGGGGATTATCCCACCTGTGCTAGACAATGTGGTCAAGCAGTTTGCTACTGCGTCACGAATAGCCCCTCCCACCGGCACAACAGCCCACAGCTCAATTCACCACGACACTCTCCAGGCCTGACCCACACACCATTGCTTCGCTCTGTCATTTCCCTCTTAGTCCGAGAACTTTCGGAAGAACATGGCAGAGTATATAAAACTGGCTCATTGGTAATTCACACAAAATTCACTTAGGGCTTTTCTCCCCACTGTCCAGTGACTCCCTTCTGACTGACTGCAAAGTAAAAGCTGCATCAATACCATTCAAAACAACGCCAGCACAAGCCTCCTCTTCGCCTCTAGCTGAATGCACTTTATTTACTTTTCTGAGTTAGTAGCCATTCAAGAAATGCTTCCTCATCTCTGTCTCTGGTCTTACATTCACTTCCTTTTTAGTCTTGTACCCTTTCCTATATTCAAGGAATGATGTCTTCCTACTTCAGACCACAAAACCTAGGAATTAGCAAGCACTTTCTAAATTATCTGGTATAATTCTCTAAGTCTGCTTATACAGCAATCCATTCAACAACAATGAGTCCTATGTTCAGGGTTGAAAGGTCTATCGAAAGCTTGCCTCCATGTGATCTTCTTAGATGCTTAAAACAGAATTCACCACCTTAAAAGGCAACACTTTCTAATTTAATAGTCCATAAAGTGTCATATCTGCTTGCCTCTAAATTATACCAGTTGGCTCTCATTTGGACTATTTTAAATTTTTTCAAGTGTAATCTATCTGTCACTTATTAGAATCCTGCTAACATTCGAAACCAGGATTTTTAATTAGATTTATCCACTGTCATTCCAATGTATTTGATCTGCCCATCCTGTTAGCAACATCTTAATCACCCTTTCTGCAGCGGTGTCACCTACAGTCTGAAATCAGAACCAGCCTGCAACTACAGTCTGATCTGGATCACTGACACTTTGCTCAGACTCTTTACTTTCTCTTCATGGCCTTCTACCTTCTTCCTCTCCACCTTCTCAAATGCCCAGCTTGTTCATTCACTCACTTACTCTTTGAACGCATCTTTATTAAGGAACCCAGATGCTTGGAACAGCCCGTGCTTGACTCTGGCAATAGATACATCAAAGTGACAGTGCTTCCTTGTGCAGAGCAGACGGCCTGGCAGCGAAGGGGAACAATGTCCAGGGAGTTTGATATGTGCTACACTGAGAGCACAGGTGCTCTCAGTGTGCTCAAGGCCACGAGAGATATGGCTAAGCCCACTAAGAGGGGAGGGAAAGCTGGAAGGCTAGCGAAAGTTTCCAAGGAATGAGTCCCACTGAGCCTTAAAAGATGAGCAGATGTTGGCCAGAAAGACACAAGAAGGTCAAAGTCTCTACATGAAGTGTCATTGATGCATGTTCTTGGAGACAAGAGAACTGAACAGAATTAAGATGGCTGAAAGAGAGGATGTATATTAGGTAGTGAGACTTAAAACTGAATAGGAAGCGTCAAATCATGATCTTTCATAAAGAGCTCAAAGCCTTCCACCAAGAAACTAGCAAGGGAAAGGGAAGCACCAAAAGATTTTAAATAGGAAAATGTGTTTGAAAACAATCATGCTGGCAGCCTTTCTTGAGATATCCATTCTCAATTCTCTCTCTCTAAGATTTGTTTATTTATCCATACAGAACTGGGGTAAAAGCCAGAAGTGCAGGGGTGGTAAGAAAATTTACCAGAGACAGAGAGGGGAGCAGAACAGGCAGACTGAGAAAGTACACTGCTGAGGGAAGCAGCGGGCGGGTAAAGAGAGGTCTGCTGCACCATGTGGGTCACCTCCAGGGCCGGGGATTAAACTCATGCTGAAGTGGCTTTAGCTTCTTAGTGCTGTGCTTTAACCCACTGCGCCACCAGAGAGGGCCCTCTCTCTCTCTTTTTTTTTTTAAAGATTAATTTATACATACAGAACTGGGGTATAGGCCAGAGGTGCGGGGTGTGAGAGGATTTGCTAGAGAGAGTGGGGAGCAGAACAGACAGACACAGCTGAGGGGAGCAGCAGGCAGGACAGGAAAAGTCTGCTTCACCGTGTGGGTCACCTCCCTGGCTGGGGATCAAACTTGTGCTGCAGTGGCTTCGGTAGCTTCATAGTGCTGTGCTTTAACCCACTGCACCACCAGGGAGGGCCCTCAATAGTCTCTTTGTCCTCCAAATTTTTATGGTACTAACAATGCTAATCACTCAATAGGTACTCATATAATTATGCAGAGTTCTGAACTTTAACATGCTTATTCTTACATCACCAATGAGATCATTAACTCCTGAAGGAAAGCAACCATGCCTGCCCTTTCTATATCTCCCTCAGCTTCAAACAGCTAAAACTCCACATACGACAACTTAAAACAAAACATTCTTGGTTGACCAATATATGATCAGAAGAGTAGCTAAAGAAATCAGGTCTAAGTTATCTACAAGAAAACTGTTCAATATGTAAAAACCCCCAACACCCCAGTAAGTCATCTACATGCCGGGACAAGCGAACAGAATGAACAAACCAAACTGAGGCTGCTCAGGGCCTCTGCCCACCACACTGTGGCCGGCACTGGCCAGCCCTGCCACAGCATACTCATCACCTTCATAATTGAGCTTAACAGGCTGGCTCTAGTTTTACTACATATACACTCTGAAGACACAAGACTTCTTATTTTCTTCTTAGAGTTTATTATAAAAGATGCGCGTGTTTGCTCTAACAAGTTGAACAATACATAAGAGAGAACAAAGTTAACAAGTTTTCCTTTAAACTAATCACTATTTTAAAGAGATGGAATTCGCTTGATTTCTTTTAGAACTGACATGTGAATAACACACTTGAGCCTTATTATCTGACTGCCCGCTGTTAATTCTGTATGCCAGTCAAGCCCTTCCATGAGGATAATACTCTAGAAAATTCTTATCAGTTATATTTTCAAACCCTAAAACACAGACTTTTAATTCAGAAGGAGGAGTTCCAACCATCTATTCTGAGGATAACATGGTACCAAGATCTTGCAAGACTGACCAGCCTGCGCAGGGCTGAGCCACGAGTTTCTCAGAAAAGAATTTGAAAGAACAACTTTGCCAGAAGCTGGAAGGTCCTTTTTTAGAATTTTGTGTTGCAGACCCATCAATTACATAGAAGTCCTTACCAGATTTAAATATCAGGATAAGAGGATTAACTCTATTGCCTGGAGTTTAAAATCTAAATGTTTCAGCAAGGAACTTCATTAAGGAAGCCAAGGAGAAGCTTTATGACACAGACCTTCAGAATGCTGCAAACAGCTCTCACCTCCAAAGTTTTAAGATTTAGCTACTACATATAAATCCCTAATTTAATTCCAGGCCCAGCAAAGCTCTTTCTATCTGGAGGTAGAATTTTCAGAAAGTACCCTCATGTAAGAGTAAACAGTCAAAGAAAAAGACATATTCTTTTTGATGCATCTTAATAAATTCAGCCCTGTCAAAGGCTAGGAACTGATTAACAGAACTCAAGGGCCTATAGGAAATTTCTCAGATTTAACATATGGACACACCAATTAACCACATGAGCTTACTGATCTAGAAGGATTTAATACTTATTCCTACTTTATTAAGATCACCTCTGCAAGTCACCGAGGGGCTAATTCCTACCCTCCTTTTCCTCCCCTTTCACTGGTAGCTATGTCCTTCATATAACATAGGGAGTCCCTTCCACCTAAAATCCAAATCCTACCTCTTTTTTTCTCCTGGGACTCCTCAGCCCAACAAAGATCCCTTTGTTTGGACCGTCTGACTTCTCCTTTGGGCTCCCTCCACAAGAATGGTGACAATATTCAGACCCCATTCCCTCACAGCCAACTCCCCCATGTGAGCTGGCTTCCTGCCCACACACTCACTGACACTGCCCTCCCACAGTCACCTAATCCCAGCCCAGAAGACACCGCTCATCATCCATCCTGTCTGTCACCTTTTAGACCTTCCAGCCCTCTGGAATCTGAGACTCCA